AGAAGAAGCAGGGTCTGCAAGCAGTGGGGTGGATGAGATAGGCGAGGCAAGAAGCTGGTCAGTGTGTGTCAGCTGTGAATTGCCATATTTCTGAGGTAAGGCTCCAAGACTGAAAGGAACCACCAATGTGAATAAGCCCAGTTCTCTGTCTTGTTCATAAAATGCTCTTTTTTTTTTGTGCCCAATCTTAGCAATTTTGTTATCTTTCCAGACATAGAAAATTTATAGTTTTCTGCTTTCCCCCATGTCTGCCCTTTGGGAACTGGGGACAGTTTGTAAGTGCTGACAAGGCTCAGCAAACTCTTCTCTCCTCCAACTCATCCAGGTGTACTTCATGATATGCTGAGGAAGCTCTGTGTTTCCCTCTGATGGCTGCTATCAGAAAAGTTAAAGAGCCCATAGTTGCTGGCTCTCAAGAAGTGTCTGCAGTTGCTGTAAAAGTTTCCAAGTTGTAGTAATACGGGTTTTGAGGGCATGGGGAAAGCTTTCAAAGGTCTCTCTCCTTCACTTGGAGCATCCTGCCCCTGGGAAATGGAATGGAAGCAAATATGGTTCCTTTTGGGCAGACAGGATCTTTCCACACAGGCCAGCCTTTGTGATGCTGGACCATGCCCAGGGAAAAAACACCTTGTTTTCATTCGAGTCATGCAGTGCATGGTCAGCCATAAAAGTGGTAGCTAATGGGTTTGATGGGGAAAAGAAATAAATCCAAACCACAACCCTTGAAGTCTGCTGCTACTATTTACTGTTTTAAAAACTATCAAGGTATCCGGTTGCTACAGTGGTGCTACTGGATATGCTTAGCCAGTGTTTAAGTATTTAGTTCATCTGAGTTAAGTAGTGTCAGGAAAAACTTTGTACCATTTGTTTTAAAATTTCTGTGCCGTGTCCTTGATTTTGCCAGATTGATGAGTGCCTTTATTTTAAACTGCTGACTCCCAGTTTGGATACTGGCAATTTGAGAGGTATGTGTCCTTCATTTTAAAGAAGCCAGTGTCTTTTATTAGGACCCTGGCAAGCTAAGAAGCATGTATCCCATCTGTTAAAGGGCCAGTGTCATTTACTAAAATGTTGGCAGGCTGCAAGGAATGAACCCTTCTGTCTAGAGATCCAACGTTCCTATTGGACACAAGATAATTGTTCTTAATATTTCTTTAGCGTTGTATGCTTTTCTTAAATTACGGTCACTGATTGACAGTAACTTGGTAAGGCTGCATTAGAAACTGGCAGCTCAATGTCTTCATCATTCTGGTTTCTCTAGTAATGATTTCAGTTCTGACCTGGAAGAGTTTGTGACTGAAATGGAGAACAGCAGGTGTGTTGAGAAGTGGATGAACCAAGATGATATTTTTAACTCACTTACTTGATTCTTCTTCTCTAATGCACAAGAATAGAAATACCACACTTCTTTATCAGGTAATACATCTTATATGTTCAGGGGATTAAAATTAAAAAATCAAAATAAAAAAACAGAAGGGGAGCAAAGAAATTTACCCTACATTGTCCCCAAAGCAATGCAACACATGCTGTGAAAACAGGCAATCCGCTTCAGCTTGCTAAATGAACTAAGCATGGCTGTATGTGTTTGCCCACAGAAGACTATCTACAGGCTAACTACTGAACCCTTGTTGAGTTGTTCATGAAACAGAATAGCCTTTGTCTTTCATAGAGGGAAATTATGTAAGGAATCTAGTTCTCATATGTGGGTAAGAACTGTTTGGGAAATTGATTAAAATCAGTGGAAGAAAACATTACCTGACTTGAAGGTAATTCAGTCCTTTTGCTTAGTTGTTGACTGTTCACCTAGTGATGATGCTGAGTAAGACAGTAAAGACAAGTTTTATAGCTCTGTCCCAAGATTTAGTAATTCTATAATGTAATTCAAGTCGAAGATTTTAATGCACATATTGGCAGAGAAAACCTCGTGGCACATCCACACCATAGATCATCTGCTTCTATGACTTCACTAGCTGCAATCCTGCATACTTGGGCTCATATTATAAAATCAAGTTTCACTGAAACTTACTAGAGCATAGGCATATTTTCAGTTATGTTCTTGTTGAGAGTGAAATATGTTAAAACTACTAGGGATGTAATAGTATAACAGACTGCAGAACTGTTGATAGAAATGTAGCATGTTATGTCCTCTGATACCTGTGAACAAATGCTGTGTTTAACAGCTTGAACAAAATACAAATTGCTTTTCTATCATTTAACCTTTTTAGAATTAACTTTAACGTGAACCTGATTTTATCTTTCCAAGATTAGCTGTATAAATAATTCTTGTTCAGATCCTCAATCCATTAATGACAATCTTAAAGTCAGTTTTTCTGCTTAGAATTCAGTTTTCTTAAATGCTGACTGCCTAAATATTTTATGATCTGTCGTACTAACTGGTACTATGATTTTTCATCTGACTTTTTTTCCAGAGGCCGAGCTGTCCATTTTGGACGTTAGTGGAAGAGGTCAGAGTAGTTGATTTTTTGGCTGGATGTGACAGCATTAATGATCAAGTGCATTTCAGCATCTTAGGCAGCTGTGGACCTCGTATGGGTTTGGATGTTGGTTTTGCATGCAATATATGCTTGGCAGCTCTCCAAAAAACAGAATACTGTTCCAAGAGCTCAGCTGAGAAGTATTTTTCAGTAGGAAGTGTATTTCCAGTTTACAGGGGTAGGCGGTCTCTCAGACTATTGCAAAGAGTTTTTTGATTACTATTGGATAGGTACTGTAATATCTCACAGAATACCAGGGGATAGGTCTGCTGTGAAGGATGCAGCCTGCTTCCAGAAATTTTGACAACATTTACAGACATGCAGAAATGTCAGATGTGTTCACTGCACAATTATGGGTTGGCTGTGCAGTGCGAACCCAGTGACTTTGGCTCTGAGAGGAAACATCAGGTCTTACGTAGGTGTGCAGCATGAGTGTAAGTCCATCATGCTGAGAATAGGCTGGATTTCCTGATTGTACAGAGAAGGAATTGTACAGTGTATGCGCAACAAGTCTGGCACATCCAGAATGTGTTAGAGCTAGTAGGCGTATGCAGACAGAGTATGCAGCACTCACTCTGTAGTGCAGATGCTTCCCAAAAGGATTGGACTTGCTTGCACATTGGTCCTTAGCATAGATTTGCCTGGCAACCCTTTCTATGGGCTGCCAAGTTTCAGATATGAGCCTTAAAACATGAATATAAATTTAGTATTTCTCTAGCCTCGTAATTCCTATTTCCATTTCACATTGTCCTGTTCTCAGTTTTCAGTACAGCTCTCTCTGCTGCCTTGTAGCTGCGGTTCTCTGAAGCAGCTCCACATCCTGCAATGAAATGCTGACATCATTAGTTTTTTTACTTCTTGTATTCCCTAGCAATCCCCACCAAGATCAAGGTCTCATTGTGCTCATTGCTGTTCGGGAAGCTTTGGCCTGACCCCTAACACTTACAGTTGAGGTAGAAGAGAGAAAATCTGGCAGGAAAAGTAAAAGCATCCTGCGGGTGGGAATCTGACATGCAGGCAGTGCAGCTGCTTGTCCAGGTTCCTAAAAAGTCCCTGTCAGGCTAGGAATTTGTTCCAGACCTCATCCCTAGGCTTCCTTTCTTTTCAAAGCCAGTACTACATTATATGACTGGTACCTCTGCAGGCTTCAACTGGTTAGCAGGAACTTGGGATGTTAGGCATTCCTTGTTTAGTGATAGCCTTGTCTGGGTCCAGTTGAATATGAAGTCAGCACCTCCTCTGAATTTCTCTATTTTCTGCTTCTCTCTTTACCTGCCTTCGCTTTCTTTGTGCCACAGCAAT